ATCGCATCGGCGGGCCACCTAACGGTGTGTCGCTTAACGTATGAAGAACCAGTGTGCTAAAAAAAATTAACATAATGACACACTTTGACACAGATTTTAATTTCAGGTAGAATTCAAATATCTAAAAGAACTTCCAATGGATGAACCTTGCTTAAGAGACTCACGTTTTGAAAAGCGATAAGAAGGTTGTGGAATTCGTCATATGTCCGATAGCGGTCCACTTGGAAAAACTGGCGAAATATGTCGGTGAGATCACAAACAACAGTATAAGCTAAAGAGTCACCAATGTTTAGTTGCCTACTCTCTTCCGGCATAGGTCCATGGATGTGATGCATATTAAAACGAGTGACGTACACGCCGGATTTTTTCGAGCCAACCGCAAAAAATGCGTCACAATAGGAAACAGAACATGTAAATTGTCCTTGTTTTAAAAGCAAGTTCGGGAGACCATCAAGAGGTGTCTGTCGATAGATAACGTGCCTTCGTGCAAACCGACAACCCGTTTCCTGGAGCATGCAGATCGCTTAAACAGAATGACCCACTTTCTTAAATGCTTCACAAGCCTGTTCAAATTCCGCGTCTGAAGTAAAATGTTTTCCGGTAAATAATCGCTCAAAAACATCCGTAAGATCCATTTTGTGTAACACTCCCTTTTTCAGTAATTGTTTCTCACAGCACCAACATCAGAGACCGCAGAAGGCGCACTAACTTCTCATACGAAATTTAAGTGCGCGCATTTTGAAAGCCAAATGTGTGGTAAAATCAAATTACAGTGAATTTAACGAAAAGCAAAAATTTTGCCATCTAACTCCGAATTAATCAAATTTTTGCATTTGTTTACTAAGGCGCTCAAAATAGGTTAATATTTTTACGTTATTTACTAAATAAAATCTCTTGAAAACAACGTTCTCAAAGCTCTCCTTAATGCCTAAATTTCTACGTTTTTTGCGTTCCACAGATGTTGACTGTCATTGCCGCAGATTACATCCCGATCCTCGAGGCAAACAAATATTTATCACCATAGACCATGATCTTATGAATGTATTCCCACCTACTATTGTTAGTCTCTATCTAAACAGCCTCCCTAAGTTTGTCGTTATCTATATAGCATCCCGAGAATCCCTCGCCGGTATAGGAATCCGGTAAGTGCAGCTGAATACATGTATTCCGAGGACGACAGAGCAGATGGACCAGCCACGTGTACGACAGGCAGACAAGTCCTTAAGTGACCGCCAAGTGTCATGTGTCACGTGAACAACGTATTACAATCTACACACCATTTTTGCACAAAGGTACAACATATAAGTGGAGCAGACTACAGATGAGTAGCCGATAAATACTTCAAACCCCACACAATTTAAATCACCTCCACCCGCATGACGTACGACAAGCGCTAAACAGTGAAGTATTGTCGATTCATTAAACTTCTTTGAAGGTACGGAAACTCGCAATGATAGTCAGGGAGTATCAAAGACCCAATGCAGTGACTTTGATCATGCAGTGAGTAAAATTATCTAGCGGGTGAAATGATCTAAGTAGCCCATGATAACCCTTAAAGCGCACACACCCCGTCCCACTGAACCTACACAACACCGCAATACACAGCACTCAACACTGTGACCACATTTGTCCTGCGACTACATTGATATCCATCGTGCTCTTGTACGCGTGAGCTACCCGCCAAAGTCCAATCCCTTCTCCCTCTGCTCTTCCTCCCGGAGTACGAATCCAGCTCAACTGAATACCTTCTACCTGATGAGAAGTTTCGGGGAGCTACAGAGTCACTCCTCTATCGAATAAAATATTCGTTCCCAGAGTCAAAAAACTGCACGGTGGGCAATAAAGATTTTGCATTCGACACGTTTCTGATCGACAGAAATATTATTAAAACAGTCCAACCGGTGAAGATGAATGGCCAAGTAGGCAACCATGCAGAAAATCACGAGCTGGACAAAAATCCACCTCACTACAATCTATTTAGTGAAGTCGTTCGGATCTTAATGAAAATCGCTTCGAGTTTATTAATGTTTCATTGCGAAACCTTAACCGGCCTACCACTTCTAGACGGATGAAACGAGTTGTTTTTTTATATATGTATGCGAAACCTTCATCAAAGCATAGAACAACAGAGCATATTATGGAAGAACCTTCATGCGTTTCTGAACTACCACATGAAAAAAGCAATTTTAATAAAGCAATATTTTTTACGCCAACGCCTGTATGAAACCATAGATTCGTGTAGACTATCTGTTCAACAACTTTGTTTAAACGCATGAAGCACACATCGTGACCTCAGCCCCAAAACAAGCACGACTTACTGCAATTTCACCAGTCTGTGCTCCCCAGATCTTCTAAGTGGACGCCCACTCGTTACCTCGCCAGAGCCACAAAAATGAATCTGATCCGCCAAAACTTCAACGAAGAATGCGAAGCTGGTATCAATCGTCAAATTAATATGGAGCTCTACGCTAGCTACCTCTACCTAGCCATGTCCCAACACTTCGACCGAGAAGATGTTGCTCTGCCAGGCTTCAGAAAATTTTTCGCCAAAGCCTCCGAGGAGGAGCGCCAGCATGCCATAAAGGTAAATCACCTTCTTACCCATCACACTCAGTAGCTCATGCGTTATCAATGCAAACGTGGCGGTCGCATTGTCTATCAGGATATTGCCAAACCCCAAAAAAGTGAATGGACGACCGGCCTTGAAGCCATGGAAACAGCACTTAAAATCGAACGAGAGGTCAACGAGTCCCTTCTTGCCTTGTGCGATGTCGCTGCTAAAAATAATGACGGTCATTTCAATGATTTCTTAGAAAGTAAAGTCCTCCACTCTCTCTCTCGATCTCCTCCTGCTCTGCTTGAACACATAAGAATTGCCTTTTTACGCCCATGTAGGTGAGTTCTTGGGAGAGCAAGTGAATACCATCAAAGAGCTGGCAGACCATGTCACAAACCTTCGTCGATGCGGACCCGGCTTGGGAGAATACATTTTCGACAGAGAGACCCTTCGTGGTGGTGAGGCATGAACAATACTGACCTGCATCTGGGAGCAATTTTCGTACTTCTCTTTTCATCATTTTGTGACTTGTAAAAATAAACCTTCATAACTACAAATAACCTTTACCAAGTCAAATTATTTGCTCTTTTCTCGAGCAGTCGTTGCTTTCTGCCTTGTTGATGATCCTCTCCAACTCTCTGATCAGATTCGAGTAATCTAAAGGAGATGAAAACGTCTCATTATTACCTGACTAAGTATCACACTTAACGCTTTCAGGGCTGCACAAATCGAGGATGAGGTAT